GAACACATAGTGACCAACCCAAAAGTGTTGAGTATTATTCTGGTTGTTATGATCCCTTACATACCGTCTAATGTTTCCATTTGGAGAACTTGGTTGACATCAACACATTCCAAAAAGGAGTCTAACTGAAAGAGGGAATAGTCAACCAATCAGATGTTCCGCCGAAAGACTTATCACGCCATTGGGTATTACAAATGTCGATGACTTATTAAATATGGAAGAAACAAGTAAAGAATACAAGATGTGTCTCCGTAAGAGAATATTATGCCTACAAACTTTAGATATGTTTGCATGATAAATCATGTTTGTTGCTTTTTGGTCGAGTATTAGAACAATATATAGTTGATAGTTACGTAAAATTAGAAACATAAAGGTTAGCTTTTTATTGAAATCAACAACAAGAGTGAAGACAAGAGTTCCTTCAAGGAGTGGTAGATGCTATGGCAATTGGTGAAACAAACGCATCAGCTATTGGTCAACGAGTGCTTTTACTAGCAAATGTTATTGGCGGTCCAAGGAACATGAGAAGAAAATACATTGATGATATGGCATTAGTGCAAAGGTTCGGAAAGCCGGACATTTTTCTAACATTAACTTGTAATCCTAATTGGGCAGAAATCAAACAACACATGATGTGTGATCTTAATCCACAAAATGATTGTATGAAGAAAAATAGTATTGTAAGAATGGCGGTAAAACATATGCTACATGGTCCATGTGGTGATCTTAATCCACAAAATGTTTGTATGAAAAAAAGGTATTGTAAGAATTTTTATCCCAAACCATTTTGTGAGGTAACAACATAAAATAATGATGCATACCCTGCATATAGAAGACGTGGCAATGGGGTTAAAGTTATAGTTAGGCACGCTACGCTAGATATGGATGGTATAATCCATATTTACTATGTAAGTTTGATTGTCACATTAATATAGAAATATGCTCTACAATAAAGGCTATGAAATACATATATAAGTATATATACAAAGGATGCGAGAAAATAAGTTTTTCTGTTTCACAAGATGATAATCCAACAATCATAAATGAAATTGATCAATTTCAAGTAGGTAGGTGGATATCACCCTAGAAAGAGCTGGGAGAATTTTTAGATTTTCATTAGGTGAAATCAAACCAATTGTTATTCATTTGCCTTTGCATTTAGAAAATTATCAACCAATAACATTCAGAAGGAAAGAACAACTGACAAATATTCTAGACAAATTAGTGTCATTTTTAATTTCTAAGCATTGAGTGCTTTTCATTTTGGTTGTCACATAACTGTTTTCCACACAGTCTACCAACTAACTGTTGCTGACATTATCACTTACTTAGTAAAAGATAATATTATGTTATTTCTGCATGTTATTGGTATGTTTTTATGTTATTACATCCATCTTTATTACATTATTACAACATTAATTCATGTATGCCTGACCATAACTTCATTTACTCTATAATATGTATTTCAGTCATCTTACGTGTTGTTGCTTTTGACATTGCAACTGCATAATCTTACATTCCCTTATACAACAACAAATATAAATATCATGTCAACAAAAAATAAACAACATAAAACCAAAAATTTGTCAATGGCTAAGAATCAAACCTAGCTAATTAACCATAAAATGAAAAATATAATATATCTAACCTTCATAATTGTTTCAAATAAACTTTTTGTATGGGGATCACATTTTCAAATCCACCCATCTCAAAACTTGTAAACTAAATTTTTCATTATAATAACACAACACATGCATAGTAATATATATCACAGATACCTCCATGGGTCATGCTTAGCACGGGCCTCACGCATTCCTAGCATATATATATATATATATATATATATATATATATATATATATATATATATATATATATATATATATATATAGTCAAGATCAAATAAGAAGGAAATTTTTGGTAGGAAGGTAAGAATTTTTTTTCTACATATTTTTTTCGCGAACAAACAAAATGAATCATTAGATGATTCATTTGTAAGATAATTCACAAGAAAAAAATCTCAAAAAAACATCTCGATGATTCATTTATACATGATTTTGTTGTTATTCACTAAAATTGTCATAAAAGTGAATTTTTTCTTAATTTACTTAAAAATGAATCATAAAGATGTTTTTTTGGGAATTTTTTCTTGTGAATCATCTTACAAATGAACCATCTAGTGATTCATTTATTTTGTTCGTTAAAAAAAATATGTAGAAAAAAACTTCTTACCTTCCTACAAAAAAAATTTCTTACCGGATATATATATATATATATATATATATATATATATATATATATATATATATATATATATATATATATAGGAAAGTTTAATAGAGAACCATTATAAATGGTTCTCTAAGGAACCAAATATTTTTTTTCAAGTTTTAGACCTTATTTTTTATCGAAAAAAACTTAAAATATATAAATTCATAACTTTACATTGTGAATGCTAAAAAATAAATTATATATTTTTTTGATTCACCGTGTGAATTGAGATTCACATTATGAATCTGCATAGATTCACACTGTAATTTGATGAAAAAAAAGTTAATTTTATTTTATCGAATTTGATATCATTGGAAAACGAATAAAAAGTTATGAATTTTTGTATTTTTAGTTTTCTTATTGATAAAAAATAAGATCTAAAAGTTGAAAAAAATATTTGTTTCTTGGTTCCATGGTTAATAATGAGTCTCTGTTCAACCTCACCCTATATATATATATATATATATATATATATATATATATATATATATATATACAAATGTCCTACGAACTTTTTAGGGTTGGTCCTTTTAGTCCCTAAACTATTTTTGTGGCTTTATGAGGGACAAAGTCATGAGCAGCCTATCTTTTTAGTCCCCTTTGCCTCTTGTAGCCAGTTTGAGTCATACATAGACACCTTGTGGCCCATTTCTCTCCTGTTCATCATCTTCCTCTGTATAATACTATAGATGGGTTCTTGTTTATCTGCCTCTTTGCCGGATTTCACACACCCGGGTTATGTCGAAACTTGTTGGGAAGTCAACAACATTACTCCCATTTCCCGCATTAAATCATCGAAAGAATCTATCGTCGAAATGGAATTGAAGACAAACAAAAGGTTCAATTCTGAAGCTAAAGAAGACATGTGCAAGCTGTGTAAGAACACTTTTAGTTCTTCCTTCATTATGGAGTCAGAAACATGACAAATTACGAGCTCGTTCATGTCAATTGTGACTGTGTTCATAGATTCTCGTTTCAAAAAGAAAATGATAGAATATATTTGATATTTCAATACATACCGCTGAGTTTTTGATCTCGAAAACAGTAACTATAAGTGATTCACCTTCACATGGATCTACACTAAGCTTGAAATTTCCTAAAAAGATAGAAATTTATCAAATCTATCATTTTATCTGTTTCATCTCGAACAAATAGAGTGATTTTGCAACTATGAAGTACTTAATTTAGGAGACAGTACTACCTTAGTTTCAGGCTTCGCAATTCCACGCTCGAAGATATTGGAAGCAACGTGAGCGAAAACACATCTAAATCCATGCATTTTGCAACTCTGAAGTTGATCAGATCGGGAAACGTACTCCTTGCGCTCCGTTCTAATCGGTCAAAATCAGGGAAGATGATAAGGTGAAGTTTAGTTTGAGTGTGGAAATTACAATTTCAACATTGATAAACCCGGTGTGTTAAGTTTCACTCCTTAATTGATACAGAAGTCGAACTTTTAAGAAGCTGTATTGATTTAGATTTGCATTACTAGGTTTAAAAACCAGAAACCAGTCGACATTCAGAACAGATGATTTGGATTAGACATGGATGGATTTGAATAAGAAATGAGAATTTGAGTTGTTTTAAAAGACGGTATGTATAGTGATGGGAGAGAGAAAGCAATTGGAGAGTATGAAAAAGTGTTGATAATGATAAAGTGGTGAGCAAAAAGGTGAAGAAAGCAAAAGAGGTGAAGATGAATAGTACTAGGTATTTGTCAATAGATGTCTATGTGGCGAAGGGTCACCGGGTGAACCCTTCATTTTGTCCAAAGGGATGTAAGGGACCCAACAAAAACGACTTTGTTTCCTCATAAAGCAACGAAAATACTTAAGGAATTAAATTGACCACCCTAAAAAGTTCATAGGGCATTTGTGTCATTTCCCCAAGTAATTTAATGCAATGTACTCTTCGTTGAATTTATAATTTGAAAATGATGTTTCGTGGTGAACTTTTGTTGCACGTTTTATTTTTTATTTTGATGTGGTTTAATATTTAAGTGTTTAATATTTTGTTATTGGTATGGGTTTTCAGAGACTATGGATTTAATTTTTCGGAAGATCAAGACCTAGAATGCAATTAAGAACTTTGTGTCAAGATCCTGGTTTTTGACATTTTTGATATTTTATGTGCATATGTTATCCTTTACAATTGATTATTATTTCATGACTAAATTGATATACTAGGGTTTGCGGATTTCAGATGAAGAACAATCTAAGAACACTATGTTAGGGTCATTAATTCTGCTTTCATCTGTATAGTTTCTTTTACGATCATTACTAAGACATGCCAACTAATTAAGTTTATTAAAGTCGATGAAATAGAGACGTTATAATTTATGGTGTGTCCTTTTCCTGTAGTCACCAAAATTGTACAGTCTTGCTTGTTCTTTTGGGTCTATTATCTCGGGATGTTGGTGTACATGCATTTCTTCTCAATATCTTTCTAAAAGTGATACTAAGTCTAAAACTAAGAACAGTACATTTCCTTTTGAAGCAATTTGGAGGGAAACTAAACCCCCATGTTCGCGAAGAAAAGTCCCCTTCCAAATACTATTTTGAAATTCGCCTTTTTTGTTGTTTTGAACCACAAGTCCATTGAACTTAGTCAAAAGACATACTATTCCTATCTGCCTTTTGAAATTGTAGCATTTATGATTGTGACAACAAATCAAGAATCACGAGAAACACAAATTTACACAAGATTTAACCAAATGTATTGAGGCTACTCCAGGCCTCATTGTAATAAACAAGAAAATTATTAAAGTTTTTACATTTACTAGATACAGAAGGATGTATGATTTGAATGTGAACTGGGCTATACAGGCTGCAATGTCTCAAGTTCGACTGTTTCACTCTCCTTGACCTTATTTAAGAACTCTATACAGTTTTTCCATCTATATTCTTCTGATTTGCAGGGTGGGGTAGGGGATTATCAGATATAATTTACAAACATGGACAAGGGAACTAAGCATAACCCTCTTTTCCTCAAATCTGTGCTTCCATTGTTGTGTTCTTCGAATCCCCTTTCCATGCTTTGATCTTCAAAGGCACCTCTTTTTCCCTAAATTAGTTGACCACAAAATATATTCAAGAAATGGTTTGGTTTTCAGAAAAAGATGTTACAGTTGGTAGAAAATTACCAAAGAATTCTCTATGATATCGTCTACTTTTATTTGATTAAACCCCATGTGTTGACTCCCAACCTATTAATTAACAACATCCATATAAATCAATGAACATATGATTCCACACAAAGAATTCTTATAAATATGATAATTCATTTTATGATCTAACCTTAGGGCTATTGACAGGAGAACTAGCCGTGTCTTCTAAAGAATCATCATAAAGAATCTCTCTTGTTCTTCTACTGGTTTTCTTGAAAAGATTCAATTTCTTGGTGAATTTTGGGGCTACACCACTCATCGAATTATCGATAGTATTCCACTCAACATGTGAAGCAACATCAGATAGCACGGGTCCATCATGATCTTGTTGCTGTTGATGATGATGACGATGTTGATATTGATGTTGTTGTTGTTGATGATGATAATAATAATCATGATCAGTAACTGAATGATTATTTTGATGATCATGCTGTTGGGCAACCATAAAATCTTCAAAATAAGCAGTCCAACCACTTTCTTCGGTTGTTGCTGTGTCTGATTCATCCATAGATTTGTTCAAAGATGTATATGCATATGATGATTGATTTGATTCCATAGAGAGAGGGATGCAGATACAACGAACACAATATCAGTGAAGGGTTGTATATATAGATGAGAACAATAATATAATAATATATGAAGTTATGGTAGCCATTGTAGAATCTTGGTGTTGGTGTGGGGGCCAGGTAGTGGGGAAGTTAATCGAAGGAGTTGTTGCAATCAGAAAAATAAAAACTAGAGTAAATAACAAAAAATGTCCCTAATCTTTACCAAATAATGCAAGGTTGGTCCTAGTTTTAAAAATTTCTTAAACAACGTTTAGGCACTCTCTCAAACCCCCCTTTGTGCAAAGGACAATGGTGCATTTTGGTATTTTAATTGTTTCTGTCTCTATTCAACTCTAATTATTATCCATAATTGTTTGTTGAAACTTCCAATTTACACGTTCATCCTCTACAATTGAATATTGGAATACCATACACATCCTCTCTCCTCTTGTAAATTTTACACGCTTCTCCTGCCTCCATATATGTGATTACGTAGCAACCACAGCCTTTTACCAAATTTGTAGCAGTCTTTGATCATTGTGCGAATTAGGATATATATATATATATTATATATATATATATATATATATATATATATATATATATATATATATATATATATATATATATATATATATATATATATATATATAATATATATATATATATATATATATTGAAAACGGCGAATATTATGAAAAGGGATCAACAATTAGCAAGAAACTAAATCGCGACCAAATAAAACAGTACAAGAAAGAGAAACATAAAAAACAATTAAAATGTGATAAGACTTAGATGGCAAATGGCGAACAACTCCATTCAGCACAGCTACCGCAACCATGAGGACTCTTATGCTTGCACCAAGTATATAACAAAGAGATGATATTATCGGCTACTTTTGTTGGAGGTGCAAATTAGGAGATAGTCAACCAAAGCACAACTTATGTTTTATCAAAACATGAAAAATGAAACATAGAATTTAACTTTTTAAACAGAGCAAAGATAAAATATAGTTAGTGTTATGGTTTTTTCTTTTTATATATTTTTTTTATTTTTTTTTAAATAGTTTTTAGTTTTTTTTTTAATTGTTTGTAAACATATACTATCATGTATAAACTTAAATCATTTTTTTTAACATAACATGCGTTAAGTTTAAAGCATACAACGAAAATTGTCATCAAAATTTGTACTATCCGTGTTGCCAAAACACAACATAAAGCAAAAAGGAAAAGATAAATTATTGGACTAATTAACATTAGTCGTAAATTCCATTCTTTGATTTTTAAAAAGTAACACCTAAACCATATAGTTGTCATACCCATTTTTTTAACATTGTTACCATTGCTACCAAACCATGTCACTATATGTTTGCAAACATCTTGAACCTTATTATAACTATCGATTGCATTATAACTACCTTTTATTAAACAAAAAAACATATAAAAATGGTTCAAATATTTCAAAATTATCAAGATGAAATTAATTAATCGTATAGAATATCATAATTAAAAGACTTCCGATGTATATGACTAATATCAGTTTCAACATCATCTGATTGTTGAACACAATCAAGTCCTTAAAAACTTTAACCGAGATAAGAATGAAACTGAAATAAATATTGTTAAATGAAGGAATCGAAGAAAGTTGTATCATAGCGAATCCCAAAACAAAACTAAAACAAAAAAAGAAGAAGTGAATATAAACTCCACATTTGCACATGGGAAAGTTTAACGGAGTGCTTAAATGGTGTTTGAGGAGAGGGACTATTTATGAAATAGAAATCCAACTTAGGGACATCTTTGGAGAAAATCCAAAAGTTAGACTAAATGTGTAACTTTTTTTATAGATTGGATACCATTCTTGTAATTTACTCTAAAAGTAATATATTACGGAGAGAGAGACGTGCAAAGAAGGAAACAAATTTGATAGGGTATAGAGGGTTGACCTTTGTACCTTCATCAAGGGAGGTTTTATAAGTAAAACAACTCCGACTTTTATCATTCGTGATTTCAATTGTGTTCATTGATACATACAAACATACACAAATACATGATGGCTTTTTCACATCTTAAAATTAATCTAGCCAAACGATTTTTTTTTCTTCCAAAAAGTAGGGTATTCTTGAGATAAAAGAACTTATTTCTTTTTTTTTAATCTCAACATAAAAAATACACTCCGACTTTATCATTTGTGATTTCAATAATATTTTTTCTTCCAAAAAGTAGGTTATTCTTGAGATAAAAGAACTTCTTTATTTTTTTATCTCAACATAAAAAATACACTCCGACTTTATCATTTGTGATTTCAATTGTGTTCATTCATAGATACATACAAACATACACAAATACATGATGGCCTTTTAACATCTTAAAATTAATCTAGCCAAACGAAAATTTTTTTTCTTCCAAAAAGTAAGGTATTCTTGAGACAAAAGAACTTTTTTTTTTATCTCAACATAAAAAATACAATAAGACGATGTTTTTTGATTAAACCAAAAGTCGTACTTTATTTTATTTGAATCGGGCAATTGACTTATTTGAAGTGGGAGATCGGATACCTTTCTTCTTCTTGGAAGTCGATGAAATACGTTTTGGATCCACAGAAAAAGGTCTATTGTCAAGGGACCAAATTCTTTATATTTCTTATGACTTCGGTTGAGTAGATCTTAGTCTTAAAAACTATGGTGGTAGAAGTTTGACTTTGAAGACATAGTTCTTGCTTTCTACACATGATGCACATGTTATAATAGTGGCGTATCTATAGGTCAAAAAAAGATAGATTTGTTACTTTGTGGAATGACACAAACGGGGGCGGAGGATGGTTAGGGCCAGGAGCCCCCCCCCCCCCCCCCCACCCCCCCCTCTGGTTTTTTTTTTTTTTTTTTTTTTTTGCTTAGAAATAGTCATCGCCCAATAATTTTAATACATGTTAGCTCAAAAATAAAAGAAATGGGTTGTCCCCCCTCCCCTCGCTATCCGATAGTCCAAGAACCAAATCATCGACTCTCTAACCCTCGCTCAGTCCGTCTCCGTCAGTCGCTCAATCCTGACATCTTTTGTTGATCGCTGAATCAGACACCTCCCACTACCTCTCTCAACCCCGAGATGGAATCGATCAACTATGTACAACACTTCAGTGTTCTCTCCGTTTCTTTATTCTCTCTTCCCCATCGGACCATCATCCATTTTCCTTCGACCCCACTGATTTAGTTTTTACTGATTTTTATCTTCAATTCTTCATAATGAGTTGCAGTTATTTGTTGTTGTAATATTGGCTAAAACACAAGTATCTTTGTCATCATCCATTCTTCCTGTAATACTAGTAGTACTACTAGTACTACATTAAGGGGAAGATACTTATTGGGGTGTGATTTGTTTAGAGGAAAATGGGTAGTTATATAACTTATATACCTACACTATGTAGCTTTAAGTTGTCCCTTCATTGACTCTGAATTTGATTGTCTTAAACATGGCAACTCAGACACCCAGTATCACAAGTATGCTTGGCAACCAACCAAAGTCATGTAAATTGCCCAGGTACATACATACTCCACCTCTCTCATTCTCTCTCATTGGATTCCTAGAGGGTATGCTCTTGTTAAAGATAAACTAGAGGTCTTGCATAGAACATAGAATGTAGAAATTTATGGTATTTGGGATCTTTCTGAAAAAAAAATTGTCCTTCTTGTAGTCTTTTAAGGAGAAGGGGTGTGACTAGAATGATTTATCCTGCAAAGGAACAATTTCAGCATAGAGAATTAAATTCCATGCCTATTTATGTCAAATTTACATATGGAAACAGTTCAGTTTAATATCTTCCTAGTTTTGTAAACGAGTTCACTATTTTTTTTTACTATTTCAGAAGTTGGAATATAAAATAACTAAGCAACATGTTTGTTAATTTTTGTGGATGTAAATCTTTGATAGCTAGACCTTTTACCTACTGTCATGTCTTTGTTTCTATTATGAAGTTGTTGGCAAAAAGGGTCAGCTTGGAAAAGGACACCATAAAAAAGAAGAGATGAATATGAAAATAATTGAGAATTGGCATATAAAATAGAGAAAATACACATAACATTTTCAGTAGTAAGACTAGTAAGCACAATCATTACTCCCCCCCTCCAAATTAATTGTTTAAGCTCCGCCACTGGACACAAACAACATTATCATTGGCTATGACGTACTAAAAAATGCTACATTTATCATTCAAAAAGTTTTCTTTGTTGTTGGATTAAAGCATAATCAAGTCAACATTGGTCAACTTGTGACACTCATTATCCATTCAAATTAGATGATAAGCATAGCCATGTTCTTAAAAAGAATAGAGATTAATGTCTAATCACTTCAGGGAGAAATGGAAACATGTACCTTATTTGTAACATTCATAAAATTCTCAAAAATTTTAAACTTTTAAAACATACTAAAAAACCATCATCGTTTACAAATTGTTTTGAAAATAAGTTCAACATCAGAGAAATCCCAAAATCGTGGAATAAAACATGAGGAGGTGCACGATCACGCCTTTGCCTTCCCGCGATCCTTCTGAAGTACCTGAAACATAATCGAAAACTGTAAGCCCAAAGCTTAGTGAGTTTCCCCCAAAATACCGATACATAACAAATAGCACAAAAATAATAACAACATGCAATGGTCCACAACTAACAGAATGGATTACCCCTGAGCCCACATCATAAGTCTGGATTTCCCCATGGGCCCACAGGTTATGTTTGGCTTGCTCCCCGGCCCTCAGTATGAGTCTGACATGCCCTACCCGGCCCTCACCTCATATCTGGAACACTCATGAGCCCTCAATATGAGTTTGGCATGCCCTTCCTGGCTCTCAACTCATATCTGGTATGCCCCAGGGTTTGTTAGCTACATCACGGAGCAGTACAACCTCAACCCAACCCACACCATATGTCGACATATAACAAATAATATCATATACAGATAAACAGACAGTATCACAAGTAGTCCTACAGATCTACCAAACTAGCATAACAAAACTATCATGCACATCTACTCCATATTCAACATACACAATATCAGGTTATCAAACCAATGGGC